AGGGGGCGGGAAGGGGGGCAGAGACAAGCAAGACGCCATCGAACTTACTCGTCTTTTGGTGTAGTATCACTCATTTGATTCTACTTTTATCTGGATATAATGTAACTGTATATATGCTTCAGGTTCGCTTGACAAAAACCCAGCTGAATCCAACAGAAAAAGTTCAACGCAGTGTTAAGTTTCAGTATCGACTCCAGTTTTAACAAAGCTGTTCGGCTACTTCGGCATCATTTCCACATAACATTTGGTCCAGTGCTCGGTCGTCTTACTCTGACATCGTATTAGTGAGGTGATGTTTATTTTATTAGTGTGACTTATTTTAAATTTCTTTCTTTTTTTACTTGATTCGTTGGTGCTTTTGAGAGCAAAACTGTGTTCATCTTAGCTGTTTCCTTAGGACTTGATTGGTGTATGGTTATGGACTCTTTTCAGTGGTTCATTTGGTCATTGGTAATCTTTGTAGTGTTTTTCATTAACATGTCTTGCTTGTCGGTTTTGGAGAATAAACCACTTTTTGTTACTGTGCTGTTTTATGCTGTTGTCACTTTTAATATAACGGGATTATAACGACTATTTTCAGATCACTTTTTGCCTTTAATCGGTAAACCGTCTGGTCTGTCAAACAACAAAATAATGAAAAATGCTCATCACAATAACCAGGAGTCCAAGGTAATGTCATTAAATGTCTTGTTCCATCAACAGTCAAGACCCGAGAAATATTAAAATTACTCCTAAGATTAGGAAACGCAGCAAAATCTCCCATTTGAACTGAGTTGAATTGAAATGTTTGGTTTCTGATTAATTATCAAAATGCTTGGCAATTACATTTTATGTTGATCGACTAATTGACTAATGGTTGCAGCTCTGATAGCTAGCTTTAGGTGTTAATGGTCCCGGGGCTCTTTCCAAGAAGCAGATTTTCTGAGTTATGAGGATAACTCCAACGAACTGACCCTAAAGTTACCTACTGTAACTATAACTCAGAAAATCCTGCTTTCTGGGCCGAGCCCCCGCTGTACAGCACTACACAGCATTCATGACAACTAGAACACAAGAGTCACGGGTGAAAATAAAAACACTTTATTAATCAATAAAAACAATTCTTGATTGCCAGCAAATATCTCAAAACAGAGGGAACTACATCCAAACTCAAAAGCAGAGGGTGAGACTGTTATGGAGACATTTGACAAACTACAGAAATCATGACGAACACAAACATGAAAATATTTACATAACAAGACAGACGAAAATAAAATAAAGAAAGTGCACTAAGTAGTAGCAGTACTAAATAGTTGGTGTCGCACTGGGTTACACTGAAGTGAATGTTAACCAGAGTTTCATGCCAGAAGATCACATTTAACGAGGACATTTCTCCATTCAAAAACGATTTTTTTGGACATCATCTTAATGTTTGCAGGTTCTGTTCTGCCTCTTGTAAATGTTCTAGCCTAACCGCTATCTCAGCTGCAACAACGGACCTATTTTTATTTATTTTTTTCCATTTTTAAAAAGAGGGTGATGTGTACATGTACTGACAAACCTCATTCAAATAGACAAGTAATAGCACTTCTACTTTGAGAACAGGTTTTTCTCCAGTTCTCAAAACATTTAAAGTGAAAGGTAATGAGATTGTGAAATAAAAAGGCATTCAAATCAAAGTGGCCACAGCACACACCGTCGTATCACGCATTCAAATAACTTTAATCTCATTTAACAACTTGGCTCACTTTGTTATCAACACAAAAACTTAATAACATAGAACTCATAATATTTAAGCCAACACCTCGGCTTTTACAGCAGTTAAAAAATGGCCTCCAGTGGCTTTCAATTGGGTAACATTGGCAAATAAGTTACTTAAAAGGGATATCGCTACACCACAGCGACAACTGAGCCGGTTTTAAGTTGAAAAAGCAACAAATAATCCATAACTTTGATCTGTGACAGCCGGGAGCTGGTGGTAATCATACAGTACTCTCCGAAGCTCCTGGCCCATCACAGTCTCTTCAATCCCTCTTATGATTACAGGCTCCGTGTGAAGTTTTTAAAATAAAACAAAGAGGGTGTAGACTTTTACATAAAGCTGATGTGGCTAGACCTATAACCTTGCTTATACTACAGATTATGAACAGTTAATAAGAGCCTTCCTAAACGCAGCTCCCGTATTTAAACCTGCAGCGAAGGAATAGCGACAGACACGGCAAAATGCATATAGCCAAGCCTTTTTAAAGACAAATTACAGTGCTATGTATAATTTATAAGGAAGTTGATACATTTAGCAATGCAGTGTGCCTCCTCCCAAAACAAAACAAGAATAAAACTCCATCTGCCCCTCTTACAGGACTCTCACCTCCAGGCCTCTTTTAGCAGTGGCCAGCCCGGGAACCCTCAGCCTCCGACTCCTTCGCGTTTCAACATCCTCCTCCTCGCGCGTCAAACCCGATCTCTTAAGGGCTTTCTGAACTTAGATGCAACCGACACAAACTGACTCAAATAACTGGAGTTTTTGCGACTCACACACACTTACAGGATTAGAGTGCAGTGTTCGAGCATTTAAGATGTATTCAGATCAAGAGATGTGCACCATTACAACCTTTGGTTAGTATTGGCGTTAATGGCATCCTAAAATGATGGACTTCCTTTAACCTTTGGTATCTAAACTCTCGCAACCGTAGACGCTGCCTGAAGATTTGCAACTTAAAAGCCTCAGTGACTACGAAAATCACTAAAAGTCTCCAGGGTGGGGTGTGATCTGATAGTCCTTTAAAACCTTCCGTGCATAGGTATTCCCACCATTCTTTGTTGACAGTGTTCCTTGACTCCCACCTTTCTCGATACCAGTCCCTTGTTTTACCCTACAAATCTTCGTCCTCAGTGGTTTGGTGCAAAAGGATCAAGAGCAGCTAAAATTTTTCTCTAATAGCTCATTTTATGTCCTTTTAGATCCCTCTTCTCTTTGCTTATTGTTTTCCCCCCCATCTAAATAATGAAATATCAGTACTCAAACGAAGAGCTACTTCTGCTTCAAAGTCGTCTCCAGGAAAATAACGTAGGAACAGAATGAAAAGAGAGAAACTAATGCAGGAAGAGTAGTCAACAATGCCATTTTTCTACTCACCAGAATCTTCTTAAAGGAAAAAAGGACATCTCTCTTGCATCTGCAGAAATCTTTCTTATTGATTTAGCAAAGTTATAGAATAAACAGCAGTTTGCCCCCCTCACTTCTTTTTGTCTTTTTGTTTTTTCTCGGGCTTACGGTTCTGCTCAGCGGTTGTCACGCCGCGGGGCATGATCAGCACGCTGCCATCGGCGCTGTACTGCAGCGAGTACTCGCTGGGAGGATAGGGCCGGCCCTCCTCATCCCGTAGCTGAGTGAACACCTCTTGGTAAAGACTTTGCATCTTCTGCTTCATCTGCCGGAGGGAACGGATGAACTCCATCTTCTCCTTCAGCAGACGGGCCTTGTCGCGCCGCAGGTCTTGGACACCCTGCTCCAGGTTGATGATGGTGTCCAGCTTGCGCTTGCGGCAGTTCTGGGCCGCCATCTTGTTCTTGCCGCGCCTGCGGATGTCGCGGATGAGGGCGAGCTGGGCTTCACTCAGGTGGTGCTTGGCTAGGAGCTCGTTGAACTCTTCCACAGGCAGATTGATGATCTTTTCATTGGAGAAGGGGATCTTCATGGCTCTGGCTCGGCGTTCATCGCGGCTTGCGTGCTTGTCGAGCAAGTCCTGATGAGGCTGAAGCTTGGAGTGCTGTTTGTCGCGGACAGTCTTCTTCCCGGTTGAAATGGGGAGCTCTGGGTGCTCAGAAAACGCAGATGAGAGTGGCAGGTTGTAAGTATGATTGTGGCTGATGCCGTCGAGCTGAGGGAGGCCGTGGAACTGGGAGGGGTCCTGATAGCTCATACGGCAGAGCTTACTGTACCCCGGCTGATAACCCCCAACAGCACCCTCCTCTGGCTCTACAGTGGCCACCTCAGAGTCGGTGCTGTACCCCACAGCTCCCTCCTCCGAGAAGGTGGCAGACGTTGATGAGGAAGATGCTGCGGACGAGCAGGACGTCTCAGAGCTGCTTGGGGATGCTGGGCTGTGGCTGGAGTCCAGAGAAAGACCAGAATCTGAGTCAAGCTCATCCTCCAACTGGGAAGCTTGAGCCTGGCTGAAGCCCTCCTCCATGGCAAGGTCCAGCAAGCTGATCTCATCGAGCATGGACTCCTCCAGCAGGGTGCTGAATGGATCGGGCAGGATAGGCGTGGATGTTATGTTGTTACTAGAACTGTTGATCTGTGGTGGGAGAAAGATCCCGGTCAGGTTAGTGGCTCCAAACGTGGAGTTGATGTTGCTGGAGTTGCTGGAAGAGAGTCTGGGCATGGGGGTTCCTGGGGTGATGCTAACAGAGTCCATCTGGGGACTGAACATCTGAGGGAAGTCTTGGCTGCAGCTGGGGAGGGAGGCCTGGTGAAGGCTGACATCCTGGTTCACTGGTGTTGAGCCAGTAGAAAGTTCAAAGTTTCCTGCGGTGCTGGACTCGGTTGTCCCACTTGTGGAACTGACACTGCTGGAGTCGGAGTTTATCGAAGTGTTGTTCACTTCCATCGCCTTTGAACAGAAAGATTTTGTTAGGGGATCATAAAGCACATTTATTGTGCTAAATAACGTATGCACATGCACAATAATGTATTTTTCTCTACTTTTTATGGTTCAATTATTTCCCATGTTGAGACAATAGACACTTTTTTCATACTTCCAAACGCCGTTGTCCCCAAATTATACACATTTCATTGTTATTTTGAAATAAAGAAGCTTTTCTTTTGCACCTACCTCAGTCAGTTCCCAGACAATGAATAATTTAATGCTTTCACAACAAACAGATACATCTCATGAGTTAAAAAGGGAACATACTTGTAGTTCCATGATGGCCATTATATCTTGCCACTGCTGTTCCAGGTCTAACTGTGGCTCTGCTGGGGGCAGCTGTGGTGCCAGAGGAAGGCCCTGAGATGTGGAAGGAGCTTCATTGGAAACTATTTCCGGGGTGACAACTGGGGCTGGAAACTAATTGAAAATGTCATACGTATAAATAAAGAACAGTGTAACAACTGTGGTTTTTCTTTCACATAAAGCAATAGCTCAATATCTGGCTTTACAATACTTGGAGTAAATGTGAGACAACAAACCTCAGATTCTTCTCCAAAAGGGAAAGTGGCCTCCAACAGCCTCAAACATTCTTGTAGAGACAGTGAAGTCTGTGAGCCAATACCTGGGAGCTGGGTACCAACAACAAAAAGAGATACCGACAGAGTCAGAAGTACAAAATCAGTGATTCTTTTGAGGAATTAAACGCTGTAAACATGAAGTCAAATAAGTCGTGGGACAGTTTTACAGACTGTCCCGCCACACTCTTAGTCAGGAGTCCAACTGGACCTCGTGTATCAGAAATCGTGAAGAACAAGACAAGAATGAGGCATTTTACACAGACAGCATAATATTATGGGGGGTTGGTTACTGTGTATGTGGACACAAGCTCAACATATCAGTTCTAACTCTTTCTTTCAGTTTCTAAAATTGACTCTAAAAAAAATCCCTGCACTTCCATTGTGACATGCATATCGTTACCATGGTTACCGAACGATCCTGCATACAGGTTATACATCACTTCACAGATCAAGAGACCGCTTTCTTTCTTACCAGTTCTCACTATCAGCAGATGGATATTATGGCCTTGAATCAATGCTGAAGTCATACATCTTCTGTCACACAGTCCTGTGGGTTGGTCTGCTTTGCTTTCATACCACAAACAAAACCGCCGCAGACTCGGCCCGGAAGCTGAGCAGCAGCACCGACCGCGGCGGACCGAGACCACCTCGAGAAGGAGGGTCTCGGTGCGGTTGTTTAGACCGCGCCCGACTTTTTTACTGACAGCTTTCATGCCAAACAAATTGTACATTCGTTTCTTGTTCTTGCTTCTTTTTGTATTGTTAATATTCAGTGTATTCACCTTGTTAATGCTCAGCTGCTGCGGTAAAGACAGAGAGCATATTTTTTTATGTGTTTTCCTTTATCTGCTTGGGTTCACTCATTAAAATGTCTGATGTTCTGCGTATGTGTGCATTGGTAGTTTTACGAGGATTACATTTATACATCACCGGGGCTAACGGTTCTGAATGGCAACTGGTCCGCTGGAAAATTCTCCCAAGTCCTGAAATAAATATAATTCAATAGTTTGATTGAACAGCTTCATTTCCTTGATCTCTCCTTTCTACTGTCTGAGACTAAACCAACTCACTCACTGACTGGAGTGACTCAACAATGAGATGAATTTCTTACAATTTTAACAAATTAATGCAATTTTTCGGCGCACAATGTTTTAGGCAAATAGTGAAGACAGACTAACTGGAAATGTCTCAGCTCCCAAGTTTCTATTTTCTTTTTATGTGCTATAAGAGCGTTAAATGTACCACCTCCCACTGGGTGAAACACTAGGATATAGATATCCATTTAGTCTACAAACCTGCTCTGGAATGCTCTCTCCCGTCTCCCCGTCCACCGGCTGCGCCCCTTGTAAGTTCACTCCATTTCTCCAGCTCTCTTGTTCCTCATTCCCGTCTTTGTTTTCCTGTGGGCTGGGCTTCTCCTCCTCACTCTCCTTCTGACGGTTGCTGTAGTTGAACACCTCTCTTCCTGCACCGAGGTCGATGTCCTGTCGCCATAGGATGTCAATCAAGTCAATGTCCTGGGAAAACATATAGCAACCATTGAAAAATGGCCCTGTGCAGAGAGAAGTTACTTTAATAACCAGGTATTGTGCAGGCATTGAAATCTAACTCACACTGTACAAAAGGTACAAATGAAACCCAATATATCAAGGCGTTTTATGATTTAAATTATGTATTATTATTATTTGTTGTGATAATAAACTAGTTTATCTTTTCCGTAAGATAATACGTAAGACTTTTGAGAGATCATGTAACAGAGATGCAGTCAGATGATGGAACCATGACATAAACACTTGGACATGGTGGTTATCATGTGATCAGAAAGAAGTCTTGGTTCATTAAGGTCCAACAATGACTTCGTGTCACCCCGAACTCAATATGGACATTATGTGCAGGGTTGTTTTTCTCTCTCAAATAACTACAATTATAAATGAAGAAAACTAAGCACTAACAAAAGTTAAATATCACACATAGAAATGTTGTTAAAAAGTAACAAATAAATGTTTTTATTGGTTTATTTAGTGCTGTTTTAAGAGAGTAAATGAGGGAGTTAAATGTGACCAGGATCACAGCCGTAGTGAATGTGACTCAACTGGTTTGACTAAATACAAATATCTGACCAGTGCTGTGGTCCATGAGTGTTAATGGTAAACCATGTTTTTACTGTTGGAATACAGCTCATGTGTTTTCAAGCTGCCATACCCCAAACATTTATGAAACTGATACTGACTCTTAAAATAGATAGGGTTGATTAATTGTCTTTCACGGGTCCAAAATGAATAAGAATTAAGGCTTTTCTGAATATACATCGTTTATTTTTGTGGGTAATGATGATTGCTACTTGGCAGATTAGTTTACCACTGAACTTTAATCAAATCTAATATTTAATGGGTTCATCTGGGCGCAAGTACGTGATTAAATCCTACTCGTCCCATGGTGAATGTGTGGACAACAAGCAGCTGTCAAAAGGAGGTGTTTGCCCCCTTCTTCTGACAGCTGCTCCCCAGGTGTGGAGAGTGAAGGCAGAAAAAAGGCCGCAGTACCTCTTTGGTGAGGTCGTCATTGCCGTCCCTGCTGCCCTGTTCCTGGTTGCCCTCTGGGGCCACAGCTCCCAGGCTGCTGTCCGCTGCGTTCAGGTTGTACGTGGATTCAGGTGCTCCGCTTCCTCCCCTCATGGCCGGGGTAGCGTCAGGGTTGTTAACGTCCTCTAGGCCGGCCCCATTGTCCAGGGTGATGCTGGGGCCGGACTGGCTGCTGGTGGATACCACAGTCTCAGAGTCACGATGCACTAGCCAGGTGTTGAGCTCGGTGCTGGGCACGGAGAGGCGATCCAGTTGGCGCACCTGGTTCAGCAGCCGTCGAGTCGTGAAGAAATGGTCCAGGTCCACACTCTTTGGATGGATGCCATAGCCGTCCAGCGTGTTGCGCAGGTTGTGAAACTGTGTCTGGGTGTAGGCTGAGCTAGGGCCCAGGATGATCTCTCTCAGTGGGGGCAGCTGATTGCTTAGATAGGTGTCAACGTCCACCCGCACCCCAATGAGACTCAGAAGGATGGTGAACTGAATCAGGCCCTCTGTGAAGTACTTTTTCAGGTAAAGCATTTCTTTACAAAGGAACAAAAGGTGAAAGTAAAAAATAAAAACAAAAATGGGGCCAGCTACCTCGGATCAACGCTTCTGTACTTGTATACATGAGCATAAAAAGTGGTTAAAGATAGTGGGGAGGAGGGGGAAAGGGTCTTCAACAGGACTCTGTATGTTTCAAAGGCATGTAAGATCCAAGATGCGGGTTCCACTCTGAGAGAGTCCAGTTTGTGCTCAAAGCTTTGTTCTTCATAAGGTTCTCATCTTCCCATTCCTGACAGAAAGTGAGAGAATTACATTTTTATTGCTGCACTGCAAAACTACAATAGTTACACAACGTAAACCACACCAGCTTCCAGCCCTGAGACACACAAGTCTTACCTTCCTACATTTGCATTAAGCACATGTTAATGGTGTAAAAAAAAAAAACACACACAAAAAAAATCAGGACTTGCTAGCCCACTGCAACCACTCCATCCTCCCAAAGACTAGTGAAGTGATGTCTGCTCGCTCGGCGCAAAGCCTTCTCCTTTCTTTTGGGGGAAATTCAGCAGAGATGAAGGACACAGAGCTCTTTAGCAGAGATGAAGAACACAGAGCTCTTAGGCATCACCCCACCCTTGACAGGACAACTACTTCTCGTGGGTGCCGCTGAAGGTGAATGGGAGAGTCGAGAAAGCTCGCTGGGCTGGCTAGCACACGCACCAACGACAACGTTAGGTGGCAGGCAGGGTCCCTCCCTCCTCTTCCTCTCCCTTCCTCTTCCTCTCTCCTCTCTCCCTCCTCTCGCACAGCTGCGCCTATCTTCGTCCTTATGACGGTTGGCCTGTGGAGCCTACCTTGTGTTTTTTTAGACCCGGCCTCCTGCTGTTCAACCTGTATAAGCACAAAGCAGCGGTGAGAGTAGGTTGCTAGATAAACTTGCATCTCTGTTTTAAACCCACCCAAAAAAAAGTGACACGCTCCCCTCATTTATTTTGTATTTTTTTTTTTTTTTTTAAAGGACTACCTACTTCCGCCGTGGCTAGCGTCAAACAATCTCCCTAGCAACAAGTGGTGAAAATACGAGCGACAGACGCTACAGCCAATCGCGGGCCTCGGGAGCGGTGACGACACATGACTCCAGCTGCTCCCGGCCAATAGCAACGAGGCGTGGGCGGGGCTTGGGGACAACGCTAAAGCGCTATTGGAAGTTAAAGCCAAGCCTTACACTGTGCTAGCCTTTTGGAAGCTATTGCTGCTAACTATCGTAACCACGCAACTACTTTTAAAAAGTAACTTAAAGAGTGAACACACTGCTACTACAATATCCAGCAATTCACCCAATAAAAGCCACGTATTCACCCGTTTGTCTCGCGTTAGCCCGTGCTAGTAATCATAGCAACCCGTGTATCGGCTTACGTGTTATTAAACTTAAAAAAAAGGTCTTTAATTTAATACTCACGCGTGAAATAAACTGTGTCTTCATGCCACAAAACGTCCACTAGCAGTAGGCAAGTCCTGTTTCATTAAAACGTCCACAGTGAAGCCCGATAAAGCTTTCTCCAGCCTTTCCTCTTTGAATGGCCCACCATGACTTGCAGAAATTGCTAGCTGGCCCGGCTAGCCTAGCAGCGCCGCTTGACACCAAAACACGCTTTCGCACAGCGCATGCGTAGAACATTCTAGTGGTTTGTCCCAATAAAGTCACATTTTTAAAGATTGGATTTTAAGATTTTAAGTGTTACAAACTGTTTGATCAATACGTTTTTTATTTTAAATAAATTTGTAAAAGTACAGTGCTTATTATACCAACTCTTAAAGTCTCAGAAATAGTTCATGTTTGTGTTAACTAATTGAAATCTGGAGGAAATTGGAGGGTTATTTTTTTAAAACAATGCATGTAATTAAGTTAGAAGCCAAGAAAGTTGTTTGAAACTGCAATAATTTAATTTTATTCGTTATTATTTTGCCCAAATAAGTTTTGCTAAACTTTCCCATTTAATTTATAATTACTGAATTTGGAGATTATATTTATATTTTAAAGATTACTAACAATTAGAAATGTTAATGTGAATAAGTATGCCTCATATGCCCTTTATTGTTCTCCATCCTTTAAATGTATTGGTATTTTATCTCTTTATTTATTTAATATACAATAGTATAGGTATTTTATATGTTGTATGTACAATAATAACTCTTTATACTGTATGTATCTTCCAAATAGAGATATTAAATTAAATAAAATAATCTATGTAGTAAAAAACAAGTTTAACCAAGCATACAGTATAGTGGATTATATGACATTTCTAAAAAGTCAAATGTTTCTTACCTAATGTTAATAGAGATAATGTCAAGAACACACAAGATCTACAATTAAATACCACTTTTATTTCTCCAAGTAGATCATGATTACAAAATATTTTTTAATTAACTTCTGTGAAGTTATAGGTTATATATTAACCCCCATTATGTTGACAGGCCTTTTGTGGTATTTCTTTGAAATGTCAGCTTCAATCTGCAAAAACAAAGGACAATTAACAATCAGAATTACTGGCAATAATCCATCATTATTACTACTTTTTATTATTACTGAGGTCATTAAAGGTGTAATATTATATTGCTTTCAATAGATCTACAATGCTATGCTATGTTTACTGTATTTTAAAGGGCTAAAATGCTACACACTCTTTCTAGTCAGCTGGAAAACTGCCAACCCTGTGCACATAAATAAATAGAAATAGTAATCCAATACCAGTTTCTGGAGTTCCCGGGTGCATCCTGCCAGCAGGTCAACACGAGGCTCCAGTCTGGACTGCTCCTCTAGGGCTTCCTGCCTTTTCTCAGCCATTGTGGCACCTTTCAGTACCAGAATGTCTGCCTGCTTCAGCTTCTGTCTCAGCACCTCTGACACACGTTCAACATACCTAAACAACACAGAAAACAATAATGATAACATTTCTGAAGGAAAGCAAAAGGGTTTAAATGCTAATAATCATCCCTTTTCCCCTAATGTGCATGCCAGATGTCTGTACTGTTGCTTAAGTTACATCAGATTCTGTGGAATGAAAAATATGTAAAAAATAATGATAAGATTTATGCTGAGTGAAGGTGATACTATGAGGATCAGTTATGGCAGCATACCGCGGCGAGGCCTGGATCATAAACAGGTGCTGCATCCGGAGAGAGGTGAGCCGGCCCAGAAGGTCCTGCACCTCTGACAGCATCTCCCGAATATGTTCACGGGATTGGCCTTGGATGACAGAGGGGGCCAGCTGGAACTGGCTCATAGCTACCACATCTCCCTCCTCTCCCATCTCACTCACGCGCTGCGTTAGGAACACTTCCAGCTGTACAAACACATGAAACCAGTGTCACTTGTTCGAGGGTTAAATCTGATAGATGATCTAATCTATCATCCTAAATACCATCCAATTAACAGGAAACACGGCGGTCCCTCCTTCAACCAACCTTGTACCCCACAGTATACCTTTTTCACAGCAGCCAGTTGGTCGTGAAATAGTAGAGTAAACACAAGTGTTTGATGATACTAATTAAGGCTCCGTTCCAGTTAGTGTAGCAGAGCCTTTCCAGTGAGTCCATAGGTAACAGCTGTGTTTAGCCTACTATTTAATGTCAAAATGGCTGCTGTGAAAAAGGTCTATTATTCCTTTCCATTAAGTCTAATTATCTGCGACTGTTAATTTATCTGCTAATCCCTTCAAATTAAAACAAATACTCAGAATAAAGTGCACTGAATTATGTCCTGGGTGTATAAATGTACCTTTATGTATATAAATAACTGTATATATTGTTTTGTTTTATTGGTTTGCTATGTTATTCTATGAATTAAATTATCCTTTTCTATGTGTGTAGCATGAAGGAACTTTATTTTGTTATACAACCTTGTGTTATATAATAATAATAATAATAATAATAATAATAATAAGTACATTTCCTTGATTCATTGATTTATGTATGCCCATATCTTACATTATTCAATTTAGTGTTCCTCACAGAACACACCTTCATACACTTGTATATAAGAATATTCTCATTTTAACTTGACTATTAAATCCATTGATTAATAATTCAATTGATCAGCAAAAGTTATAAAGAAAAACATGCTTCTAGTTTTGCAAATGTAAGGATTTGCTTTTTTTTCTGTGCTCTTTGGAGCAATTTAAAGACCCTGGACACAAATATTAAATAGATTAATTGATAATAAGAATTATCACTACTTGCAGCCATGTTTACACTTATACACAAAGGTTAAGTGGATGCACAGGGCTTACACATGTAATTTGACACTAGTAGATTGTAGTCTTTACCTCCATTAGCTCATCGATGAACTGGCTGCGTGACTGAGAGTTCTCCAGTATACTTAAAGCATCCTCACCCTTCGCCACACCCTCGGGACCTACAAGATGACACATGTCTTCAGCAAAACAGACATTTCAACAGCTGAGGGTGTGATACACTGCTGAGCAACAATTGGGATTTATAAAAAGAAAAGTAGTTACAGTCTGTGCCAGCATCTACAATTTCAATTTCAATTGGAGCGGCTTCACTGTCGCCCCAGTCAATACCCCCAGCACCAGAGTCCTGTTGAGGGAGACAGAAGATGGTATAGTATAGCAGTGGATCCCAACACTGTCCCATATCCTCTAGATGTGTTTACTTGAACTGATTTCAACTGGATAACAGCTTAACACCGTGATATAAACGTATATATTGCTGTTGAATTGTCGATTTTTAGTTTTTAGGTTTTTGTGAAGTTGCATACCGCTTGCAGCAAAATGTGTACATCTCAAACATTTACTTATTACTTTTAGTCAACTATATCTATTGTCTATTACTTTTAGCTACTGTACCCATTTCAACTGTTTATCAATAACTTTTTGCCAAATACTTCCACCATTTCAACTGTTTATTGATTACCGTTACCTATTTCATCATTTTGATTACTTTTAGCAAATGTTTCAATTGTTTATGCATTACTTCTAACAATCTATTTCAACCATTTACACAGTACTTTTAACTATTTTTTAAAATTACTTTTAACAAACAAATCACACTGTATTAGTGGAACTGAGTAATGCTGAAATACAGAATATAGAATATAGATTTTCTTTTTGTAGAGCTTGTTCTTAATTTATTTGAATATCTATATGTCATTATTTTATATATAAGGTGAACACAAACTGTATATAAAATAAAAATGCAGATGTGTTCAAGCGTCTCACCTCAGAGCCCGGCTCCAGACTGATACCCCAGTCTGTTCCATCCTCAACTGTGATGACGGGTTCCTGGGTATTTGCCCCTTTGCCAAAGTCACCCCAGTCAATCTAAAGCAGGTTTTTAAAAGAAAGTCAGTTGTGAATTGTATCTATTTGACCCATAGTGCCATTTGTTGATTAGCACAGTTACAGAGAGCTGCAGCATGAGTCCTGGGGCTGGATTACATCATTTTCTTTTTTTAAACTCTAAAATCAGTTTAGTAACCGTGATGATGTGAATTAGGTCTGATTTGAATAACGGCACTGTGTAACACAAATAAAATGGATAAGTAGAATTTATTAATAAATATTATATGACTGGTTATGAGTAATACATAATACAGAGACAGTAAAACCAACCGCATCTTCTGTGACTGCATCAGGAGCAGCTTCCTCCACAAATGGCCTCTCAATAACTGTCGGGACTTTCCCCGTTCTCCACTCGTAGAACGTTGCGTTTCCTCTCTTCTGGACAAACGTCAGCATGGGCAGGACTGGTTCAGACCTACACATAACAACATGTGAGCTCATAGGACAAGAAGTAAAGATTTCCAAATGGTTTTATAGTTAGAGACAGACTTATTTTATATCGGGCTGAGCTGCACCGTGTTAGTGAGGTGGTAAGAAGTACAGAGCAGAGTGTTAAAATGTTTTTTTTTTTATGATATACTCACCACTCACATACAAAGTTTGTGAAAGCAGTATAAATTTGGATTTGCTCCTCTAACTTTGATGCATCCTTTCCAACTTCCTCAAGAACCGCTGGTAGGTCTTTGACCAGAGCCTGAAGCTCCCGAGCCACATTTTCTCCCTGTCAGAGGAAAGAGGGAAAGCAACAGGACGAAGAATGTCCACACAGTGAGCAAGAGTCTGGATGTATTTCTGTTAGTTAAAGACATAATATTGTACACTGCACAACCCACAAACACAGGTTTTTGTGTTTTATTGTTCTCCTGCGGGTGTGCATGTTGTTGTTGTACTTACGGTGATGCCATACTGTTTACAGGCAGCATAGTAGCGTTCCCTCAGGTCTGCGGCTGAGCTCTGGCACTCCACTTCCCGCCTGCTCAGCTCCTGCTGCAGCTGCTGGGCTTTGGCCAGCTGCTTCCTCAGAGCCGGACCTTCATAGCTCACATTGCGACTCAGCAAGCTGGCCACCTCCGCTGGGACACACAAACAGACTTTATTCTATATGCGTAATTATTTAGTTTCTACAGCTAGATGCTACTTCAGAAATAATCTGAACAGCAGCAACTAAAACTACTGTTTTCACCATTTCTGGTTTACAAGAGAACGTCAACAGGTTTTATTTGCTTAAAATAGTCTTCCTACCTCAAGCATATACAGAGGAATTATGTTGTCATGCTGTGATAAATACATAAATACATGTTTTTATATTACACTCACCCAAATAAACATTATCTCCCTCATAAAGGGACACAATCTCTTGCCAATCCTGTGAAAACAAAAACAGAAAACACAATTTAAATCTTAATTTCAGAAACTCTCTGTAGTTTTAAAGCAGAGGAACACCACACAAAGAAATCTCCTCAGACCACTTGGATTATAAACTATAAAACTGACACACCAGCAGTTTGTTTGAATCCTCTCACCTTCATCCTCTGAGACGAATATCTGCCAAAGATGTTCTTGGAGGAAGCTTCAGTCCCCTTCAGTATCTCCACTATCCTCAAGCAATGAAAGTAGTGAATGTCTATCAATAAAAGCAAACAAACAACAACAAAAGTGTGTCAGCCTATAAGCATTCATACAGACAGTTACAGGACAAGAGTTACGCTACGCTGCATCAGATCAATACACATACTAACACAGTTGAAGGTTAAAGCTGAAACAATAAAAAATAATGTGTTTATATTGCAAAAAACGCCACCTTGTAAAATAAGAATGACTTTTTCCATGAGTCAGCCATGGCCTGATTTTGTTCCAATTTGTGCCTCTCGTGTATCATTATTACATTTGAGTCACTTCCCAAAGCTGGTACTCTATTCCCTAAACCAAGAAGATCTTTTTGTTTTAGTTTTGTGTGTGCATAAATGTGAAGCATAATATAATAATAACACAATATTGCAAACCAAATTTTCCTGCTTGTTTTGGATGGCAGACAAAAAAAATTATTTATATTGTGAAATAAAATATTAAAGAATGGAGAGAAAAAGATTAGTATAACTCATGTCATACCTTTTTTTATGTGGTACAAACTGACACCTACTTTATCCAGTTAAGAAGAGTCTTTGAGGATTCTGGAAATAGCTTAAAAACTGTGGTAAGTGTTGTTAAACAATCTCCCAGGTTCACCAAGGAAAACGATTAAAATCATGATAATGTGAAATCTGTTGTGGTCTGTACCAAACAAACATATTTTATAAAAGATTTGTAGACCAGGGAATCTCTGCTGAACTACAGTATTTCATTATAATGCTGTTTTGTCTCTCATATTGCGTTTTCGATAATATTGCGATTAATTGTGCAGCTCTAATGAGAAGCACAATAATCTGGGGGCTATAAGGGACCTACAGGAGCCGGAGAGAAGCTTCTTGATCTCCTCGTTCTCCGGCATGTCCTGGATGGCAACGTTGATCTTCTCTCTGATCTCTTTTACTGCGCTCTGCCATTTCAGATTGCAGTGACGTCGATCCAGCAGCCAGTCTGTGGACACAAAGATTCATCATCATTCATATCTGTGGATTTGGCATCATTTGATTCACTTATTGCAGGCAACAGTTGGTTATAATTCTGCAGGAGAAGAAACATAAGCCTTAAGGTATCTGTAACAGATGGGATTAACAGTCTATTTTATATTTGTGCCTTTTTTACTTACCCAGAAGCTTGCTGGTCTGTATGTCGATTGGGAGGTTTTGAATATTCTGTTGAAGTGATAAAACGGTAAATATATTAGTAATGTACACTTGTTTTCCTCTATTTGTGTAGCAGTACCTTGCAGAGAGAGAGAATAATGCATTATAGTGCGGCTTGTAACGTTAAACAGCAACACAGAGAGCAGAAAGAAGTCCCAACATAGGCTATTTTGGCTCATCAGAGAGATTTTATTTCAGCTTACCTCCATTTTCTCTTCACCTTTTGAAAACCAAAGCACTTCCCAATATTTTATCGCTTCATTATAAGTTTATTTAATAAGCTCTTATGGAGGATTGTTGTCACCATCCGTATTACACTGTTTAGGACACGTTACGCGAAGGAGAGCCAATAGAAAGAGACGATCTTAAGGATTGACCATTGATATTTCACTATGCTGACAGTGGCCGCTGATTGGTCCATGGTTTAGTTTCCTGATTTGAATGTAGTGTTAAAGTCTGTCGGTAGAGAGCGGTGTCGTCCTTTCACTGTCTGCATGCTCTGAGATGAGAATTAGTAGCTTTTAAGGGAAGTTACTGTAGTTTTATTTATGTAGTCAGTAGTGGAAGAAACACTCACATCCTTTGCTCATGTAAAAGTACAAATACAAGAGAGTATTATCAGCAAAATGTAAAAAAAGCAGCAGAAATTAAATAAAATAAACTACTTTTTCTGCAGCAAAATGTCCTCTGTGATTGATATGTTATTATTATTAATATATTATGTTAGGTAGTATTATTTTACTGTTGTAGCTGGTCATGTTGGAGCTTACTACTTCATACACTTTGCATACAGATAGATTGTTCCCCGCTGTCACAAGATCAATCTGAGGGTTCGGGAGATGATTAATGTGAGAAGAAAGAAGAAGAAGAAAGTTCTGCTACACACATCTGTATTCATTTGTTGGACTTTTCTTTAATCTGTTCTGTTTAATCTTTTTTTGGGAGAAATATTGACTAGTTTTCCCTCTTTAGGCCTCAAGCAATTATTTAAATGAAGCCATCTGAGAAGTTTAAAGGGAAAAGGTCTTTCAGTTGAACTGCTTACAGCTCACAGACGTCATGGGGCTTTTTTTGTTGTTGTAAGGAGTCACAAGCCAAAAAAAGTTTGGCAAAAAACACTGGGTATAAAATGGAAATACTCAAATAAAGTACTTCAAAATTGTACCTAACTACAGTACTCCTAGTTACTTTCCAACCTTGCACCATCCCATCAAATAGAAATATTCTGTGTGCATCATTTTAGAGACATTTCCCTCAAAATTCAGTCTGACATATTTAACATCTTTGGAAACTTTGGGATCTCCATTAGAACTTAAAATAAAGCTCTTATGGTTTAATTAAGGACTGACCCTGTTAAAGTTATTTCCCATCCTTGCATCAGACCATACACAAATCGCTTACATGCTGTCACTGAAAACCAAATAAATAACAGGACATTTTGGGCATCTTGTGAACGCCAACCTGGACAGAGATGAAAATGGCTCAACTGCTGCCATTAAATCCCTGCATGTAGTCGCAGCAGTCAAGTGGCCTAATTTCAGGTCATTTGAATGGTAACCAAACTTGCAAAGTAAGCATCCATTCACTGTCTGTGATTTTACGCAAGCCATGCAAAACATCAGGGCCACTCACCTCATCTCTTTTTCTCTCTCTCTCACTCACTCTCTCTGTAACTCTCTCTGTATGTCTCTCTCTCTTTCTACAGCTTAAAGTAATTACTTAGTGTTGTGTAACAGGAATGAGAAAACTCAAACACAAAGATGACTTTATTCTGCGTCCAAATTCCACATTAAGACCGAGTTTTAAAGTGAGACTGATAAAAGGGAATTTATTTGCAGTTTGGAAAGCTGCTCACCTCTCAAGTTCACATTAACTCTGATGTCAGTAATCTTGATGCAGACTGGGCTGGCCTGAAGAAAGGTCTCACTAAATCACATGGTTGCAACATTTACTCACTCATGCACTTAGCTGGGCAGGCTGTAGGTGTGTGTGTGTGTGT